TGCAATCTCTATGAAATAAATCCTGTGTGGCATCAAATAGTCACTTTACCTCTGGGGACATGTCGTTCTCTTCAGTACAATAAAAGCATAAAACTAAATGGCTTTTCAATTCCTACCTAATGTTCTTATGTCCTTGCTTTTTCTGTCACTCTGTCCTTCTCTTGTTCCTTAGAATATTCTCCAAATATTCTTTTCCCCTGTCTCATCCCCACCCCACCTCATTCACATATCTGATTTCTCATTGGTTGCTTTATTTGCTCTTTCAGAATCCCTTATGATTCCCATTATTGGTAACAGTATAAACTATGATAAATTCTCCATTATTCTTAGGAAAGAACAAGTAGCCATCACAGAGACCACAGGAGCCTTGAAACACATAAAGAAAAACCCCATCTGACTTGCACTGATATGTATTCATTCACCCAAGAGTCACTTAGCACTTGCCTAGATCCAAGCATCTTGCTACATTCGTGAATATACAGAGGTCAATAATGCAATCACTTTTTTCAAGGAGCTTTTATTCGACCTAGGAAGAACACATAAAGCTAGAACTATAAATCTTGGTGTACTCGATTTTATTATAATGTATAGACTCTCAACCAACACATGGCTTCTTGAAACAATATTTTGTAAAGAATAAATCTTAAACTAATGTTACCAATTCAGAATCTAGACTTCAGTGTTTGGCTTGGGGTATTAGGGCTATATGTCTCTGTCGTATTCATCCCCAACATCTAACACAGTGCCTGGCAAGTGTTAGGTGCTCCATGAATATTTTTGAATGATTGAATAATTTGGTTCAGGCAGCTAATTATTTTTTTAATTATGCAGATTTTTAACATAACTATTTTGTATCCCTACTTGTTGAGATGAGAATCTTATATGCTATTATTTAGGATAAAAACATATGCTAATAACCATGAAGTTAACAGAGGGGGTTATACTGTAAATCCCCCATTAGTTATTATTTTTTTAAAAGTAAAAATTTGTGGGAAGTGAAATTAATAGAGTATCCTGGAATTATTTACCCAAGATTTCCTTTTTTATTGGCCCTGCTTGGATGTTCCATGCTTGTCTTATTAGCTGGTCTTTGCTGGACATGCTGACCTTCCTCTTTCTTGCTCTCTATAACAGTTTAAAGGCTCTTAAATATTTGGAGATTTTTTGTATCATCTAGATAAATGTGCTTGGGCCATTTATTTCTTGGTGTACAAGTAACAGAAATTATGTAAGGTTAATTTAAGAAAGAAAATAGTTTTGAGGAAAGTTAAGATTATGGTAATCTAAAATTAAAAAAGCCAAAATGTGTGGCAATAAGTGTATATTTGGGATCAAAGAATTGCAACTCAGACAACACTGATTCAGGCAGAAATCCAAAAAGTGTCCTGATTACAGGGTGAAAGCAATAGATTTTATAAGAAAAGAAGTGGTAATTTATGTGAATAGAAGAAAGACATTTCTATTGGTGCTAACAAGCTGACAAGCTGAATTAATCTTTAGCTATTGTAGGGGTTCAGAAAAGGCCTCGAAAAATGTACCACTTTAGCATTTGAATTATTTTAAGCTGAAGGCAATCAAGACCCTGCAGGCTCATAGGAAACTTTTACCTATCCTTTTAAGAATTTAAATAATGCCTATAATGAGTTATCACTAGAATCAACTTTTAAAAAAAAATCTATCTATATGACAGAACAAACTACTAATTACTGAACATCTCTTATTATCATCTTGCAATAACCCTTTGATGCTCCTAAGTACCTTACCTCATCCTTAGCTCAGAATGCCATAGATACCTCATTTTAACTGCAAAAAAGGGGGGGGGGCTATATTATAACTCTGACTGACAGAAGGTAACATTACAAGGTGACCTGATCATAAATTTCTAATTTGGCAAGTCCTGGTGGGTAGTCACACCACAGGACTATAAAGGTTTATCTTTGACTTAAGCAAACTCTATCCACTGTTTTTGTGCATCTAGGTTAACACATCCTCGAAATGTCAGAAGTAAGCCTCTTTTTCAGACCTCTCTAAAGAGAAGGAAAGTGTAACCACCCTCAAGGGAGCACATAATCTTGTTAACTATCGTGCTCCATGGCACATGTTGTCAGTTTGGCACAAACTCTTATAAAAATTCTCTAAAGGTTTGGATGTTTCTTGCATCAACAGAGTCCATAATAATTAGTATTCGTAATCAGAATAGGTGTTAGCTTGCAAACAATTGTTTGGAGAAATGTTGGTTTGGCCAGTCTGAAGATCTGGCCTATTTCACAATGCAGAGTGCTAACCACTATACGATCACGGCGTGCCATTTGCAAGGTGGCAATCTGGCCTTTTCAAACACGCCAGTTTCAAGGAGCAATATGTGAAAGGCAGGTCCTCTTGAATGACTGACTGCTCTGGTTCCATTTTAAAATGGCTCCACTTTTCACAATTAAAACACAGAAAGTTAGAAAGACCTTCACTTTTATACTTGCAATTATAAAAGCCTGGATAAACAAAATCACAACTTTCCTTGAATCCATTGGAAGGCTAAAGTATCCAGGCAACCAATTCACTCAAAATATAAGAACAAACAGATTACTTCAAGAAAATAGGGGGTGCAGACATTTCCTTAATTGTAACAGATGTCAGATGCTATGTAAGCCAGTAAGAATAATTCAGCTAAAATTAATGTCAGGGCCCAGGGTAGGCTGCCCTATGATAGTCCACAATGGCATATTGATTATTTTGAACTAAAATCACTTGAAAAGCAGCAAGAGCAGGAAAAACTCTCTGATTCTCCTCTGTCTTCCTAAAAGCAAAAAATAAATCTCCATGATAGGTGCCCTCTCCACACCTGAAGGACTAAGAGATAACCTATCACAAGAATTACAAAATCTAGAGTTGAAAAAGCAAGTATAAACAAACCTTGTAACACCTTTACTAATTTACTACCTAAACCCAAACTTTGTTTAGATTACTCCCTAACAAATATCCAAATCTACTTGGATCCCTTTCCAATGAGCACTTTTTTTGTCCTGTCAATTTCTCACGAATGTATTGTTTTTTTTCTCTAATAAGTATTAAAAGGTGCCTTGTTCAATAACTTCTTTGAGCTTAATTTTATGACCTGAGTATCATATTGTGGTTTTCCCCTACAGGCATATTAAATTGTTTTTTTCTCCTGTTAATCTAGTCCTACGTCAATTTTATGATTTTATAACTAGTCAAAGCCATAAGAACTAAAGAAGGGTAGAGTGGAGGGGATTCTCTCCTGCTCCACAGCAGTAACAAATTACTAAAGGCTATATGAGTATATAGAACAACTGAGAATCTCAGATATGGAAAATTCACTTATATTTATAGTATTTTTCCAAAGGCTCCTGAAAGATTGAAGTCAAAAAATAGAGACCAGAAAAAGCTTTCTCCTGGTGCAAGCCTGAGGTATGACAGCAGCAACTGCACAGGACTGGCAGGCAATCCCAACTAGATCTTTCTTTGAAAACTTCTTAACCTGGTGGGGGAGGGCAGAAAGCTCTATTGCTTTCAGAGCACAGGTAAAGGTACACTGCAGTTGGGGGAAGGGGAAAATTGGGAAATGAACAGTAAAACTCCAAGACTGCTGGGAAAAAAAGCAGGACCACTTACAAGATTTGATCCTCAAAACCAAAACACAAAGCACCTGCCTAAGAATGAGATTAAACCAGAGGAAAGATAATGCCCCTGCTCCCTCTCCCAAGCAGGTTAACAAGCATCGAGTAACAAGAGCAGTCTATTACTGTAACAGGGGCAAGAGCATGAAGATAAATCTTCTTGAGGCACATCATAAAGGAAATATCAAAACCTGAGAGAGAAGCAGACTTTAACAAAAACACTCAGGCAAACAGCCCTACCCTACAAACAGAGTAATGCTAGAAAAATTTGCAGACTGTTGAAACACAAACAACAAAACACAAACCTAATTAAATCCTGATTAGATTGACTCAAATTCCCAATTTCAATGCTTAACTAATGAAAAGGCATGCCCATTTTCCAGACCAAGAATAAAATATATATATAATTTACTTCAGTGTCTATTATTTTACAAAAGACATCTGCATTTTTTCAAGCTTTATTAAAACATAATAGACAATTAGTTGCTCATATTTACATTGTACAATTCAATGAGTTCTTTTTCAATTACAGTTAGCATTCCATAATATACCAGTTTCAGTTATATAACATAGTGATCATAGATTCACATAACTGGCAAAGCAATCACTCCAGTAAATCTAGTACCCCTCTTCCTCCTTACATATTTATTACAACATTATTAACCATCTTCTC